AAAAAAAATTCATGCACTTACAAGATCAGAGTTATTTGTTTGCTCGGGAGAGACTGCAAAACATAATCACAAATGTAAGAGCAGTGACAAACTGATGGGTGTTGAAAGAGCTACAGGAGGCAAATATTCAAAGGTTTTCAAAAGGAATCGTGTGTCTGAGCAGCCCGAGCAAAGGGCAGGTCCTGGTCTTCTGCTGGTGTGTCAGCAAGTGCTGCATCACTGAGCGCTACAACTTTGGTGTGCAGAGAAATGTTTAGACATTGGCTCCGCAGGGGGAAAGAGGCTAAGAAAGATCTGATAGATAAGAAAGCCTGGACTTAAACCTGAGCCTCCCCTGTGGTCATCTCCCACGCTGTAACACAATGTTGCTAAGCTACCAAGGTTTTCTTCTAATTGTCCCGGTTGAGAAATTGGAGACAAAATCCTCTGCTTTTGTTTTTGGACAGCGGCAAGCATGACACAATCATTGTGACCATTAAGAAGACACTGAGACAGGGGTAGAAGTGCTCAGCTATCAAAATAATGTACAGGAGAAATGGTTTGTGGATACTGTGGGTATAAATGCCCTAAACTCATGGATAATCAACCAAAACAGAGGGTTTATGTCTTCCGAAATTAGTGTTGCACTTGGTTTCCAATCCCTTGGCCCTGAATTTTGATTGTTGCCTGTCATTTTTCACACAACAATGTTGAAACTCAATACCACATGTCAGAGTGATTTATAAAATAAAAGGTTAACTCCAAAAATCACTGTTTTTTCTATTTTGGGGCAAATTTGCCCGAACAGTTGGATTTCCAATTCTTGAGGGAGGAAAAAAAAAAAAAGGGAGGATTGAAATATTTTCACATTTCCTCATTTGTCTTGCTTGGTATATGATGGGTCATTTCTTACCTTGTAGTGGGATACAAAGAATTGGTAACTGTTGTAGGTCTGAGATATTATTTTTTTATGTGTACATATAAATAGATAAATGATAGTTAGATGACAGGTAGATAAATAGAAAATTTCTATATAAAGCTGCTATATAAAGAAGTCTGCTAGACATCTGAGAAGCTAAAACACATATTAAGCAATTTAAACAATAGAAGCTTCTAATGATCTGGTTGTATTTCTGAATCATATAAAGTTACCATTGTTTTCCTGGGGGCCTTGCAAGTTCCTTTTTTTTTTATATCTTTCACATTGACTAACAAATCACAAAATAATTCTGCATAACTTTAATTCACACCTTGAACCTCGAAAGACTTATATACATATTTAACTCAATATGCTATTTATATAGAAATAACAGGCTCCTGGCCTTCATTATAAAACATCTGCCTGTCTCATGCAGTCAAGGTTATGTGCAGACTGTTAGGCACAAATAGGAAACTCATCTCAGGTCCGCTGGAGGAACCAAACCACCATTATGAATGCCATCATATTTTTTAAGTAAAAAGAACAAAGAGGAGGAAATTTCCTTTTTGAGACTATCCACTTACATTGTATGAACTCCTTGACACAGAGCAGAGTCAGAGGGAGGAGATGTTTTTAAAAGAGGAAAAAATTTTCTAGATCTAGAAGACAAAACCATAGGTAAGAAAACCTTTGATGTCAACCCTGATTCACAATGATTTATGCACACATGTCCTACAAGGTGACCACTCAAAGGGACGGGTCTTTTTCTGCTTATGAAATTTATCCTGACAGAGTTTGATGTCTACGGCAACCAGGTGTGGGTTTTTTTCTTTCAGTTATACATAAGACAGGCCTAAAAATAACTTTGGGTCAATCAAAAACTTCCTTTATTAGGACTGAGTCTTTTTAATTATTATTTATTTAAACCCTGCCATGTTTTCAGAGTGAGCATTAAATAAGTAATTATTTCTATTGCTTCCTAAATTGAACTCAGTTTGAAATTATTTACGTGGGGTTGTTTTAAATACATTTGTGTATGTATATATATAGCCTCCAGAAGAAAAGTAACACAAGAAAATAAGAGCAAAGGCTCACAAAACACTTTGTATCCCAAACGTATTGAATGTAAACAAAATACTTTTTTCTAGGAAAGAAAATCAAAAGTGATTTTTTTATTATTTTTTTTTTTTTAGTCTTTGGTTCCAAAATTTCGTTTTTTACATTAATTCAATCAAGCCAATTATTTCATAGCCATGTGTCAGATTATTCCAAGGAGGAAGATGATGGTCAGTGGAGCTCTTCAACGCAGAGTTTACCTGCCAAAACTTTTCAAAACCAGAATTCTTCACAGGAAATGTCACTGGCAGCTCTGCCAGGAAATGTTGAAACGATTTCTTTTTTGTTTCATTTGGATACAAAATGACAAAATATAGCTCCAGTTGGGTGATTTAATTCAAACAAACAAGCCTCCCTTCCATGTCAAAGCGCTGATTGGAAACTACAATTCTTGTTTGGTTTCAATCAGAAATGTCAACATTTTCAGTGGGACATTTCCTACTTGAAAGTTTTTGAATTGCGTATTTGCTCGGGATGGAGGTGGGGGTGCTCTGTTGGCCATCATTTGGAGGGCTTTTTGTGTATTTTACTGGTTTGTTTTCTCCTACTGATGGAGAGAAGTGTGAGGAAAGGACAGGCACAGCCTGTTGCCTCTAAGCTCACCTGTTTGGGATCAGCAGGTTATCGTGGCAGATGTCAGTTATGCGGGGAGATCCAAAGGGAAGTGATGGCTTGGTGTAGTTTTTATCTTGTCCTGAAAAGCATAAGAAAACACTCTGAGGCTGAGGGCACATTCTCACTCATGTAACTGAGTCTGCTGAGGGTTTGTGAGGGCTATGCTGGTGTCTCATGAGGCCCACAAAGCTCTCCTACCCATCTGGTGTTAGATTTGGACCTGTGTCATAGATCCATTGCTACACATCCTTTCTCCTAAGGAGACAAGCTGAGAGAGCTGGGGCTGTTCAGAATGGAGAGGAGAAGACTCCGGGGAGACCTTAGAGCCCCTTACAGTACCTATAGAGGCTACAGGAGAGCCGGAGAGGGACTTTTAAAAGGGTCTTGAGTGACAGGACAAGGGGAAAAGATTTCAAGCTGAAAAATGGAGAGTTTAGATTAGATGTTGGGAAGAAATTCCTCCCTGTGAGGGTGGTGAGGCCTTGGCACAGGTTGCCCAGAGAAGCTGTGGCTGCCCCATCCCTGGAAGTGTTCAAGACCAGGCTGGATGGGGCTTAGAGCAACCTGGGATAGTGGAAGGTGTTCCTGCCCAGGGCAGGTCCCTTCCAACCTATGATTCTATGATTCTATGATTCTATGACATAAGGAATAACAGCACATGAAAAAACCTCCACGGCAGACGAGGGTCAACCCAGTTAGTCAACCCTTGGACCAGTTGAATTGAGGTCACTCAGGATGATAGCCAGAAGTTACTATTTTTCCCAGAGCACAGGAGAGGAACTTGATGTACTTTGGGCCTTCAGCAATACTCTGGGACAGGGAAACCTGTGGCACCATCTCTGCAAGGGATCAGACATGCAGAGAAACTCCCCTGCAATGTTACCTTCATCTGTAAGTACACTTCCACAGCTCCACCCCACAAGCCTTCCCTTTTCTAGGAGTTCCTCAACATCATCTCTGTGATTACTCAGTCAAGCCAACAACTTACTCTTGTGAGTAAAGGTTTGCCCAACTGGCAACCCCAAATGACAGAGTCATCCAGACTGCTGGCAGAGCAATGGTGGGAAATGAAAAGCCCAGCAACTTGGATTTTGCACAGTTCCACTGACCTGGAGCTGAGTTTGTGCTGTAGTTTGGGCACTGTTACTACTCCATACTGAAAGGTGGGGGGGTGGTGACCTTACTCCTTAAATTAGGTGTTGAAAGTCCTTGCTTGTCTCCCCCAGCCCCAGAGAGTGAATTCTCACTGTGGTCTGAACAGCAGCCACTGGACCCCAAAAATCTCCCGCATAGGTCATGAGCTCACGGTGAAAAGCATATGGCGGGGTGGGGGGTGGATGGGATGGCGTGGGAGAGACTGAGCTTGGAGTGGGATAAGTGGGATAAATACCACTGCCCTGAATCTCACCTCCTCTGCCTTTTCTCCCCTGCCCCCATCAGTGCTGCTGTTGTGTCAGGTAGTGGCACTGTTGAGTACATTAATCCAGAGCTGAGCATTGCAGCCACACCGAGTGAGTGTCTGCGTGTGTGTGTGTGTGTGTGTGTGTGTGTGTGCGCGCCTGATCATTACCATTTATTCCCCACGCTTCGCCCCCCACCTTCCCACCCACCCACCCCCAAGCGCTGCAGGACTTCGGGAGCGAGCGACAGAAACAGAGGAAAGAGCGAGAGCCATCAGACCCCCAGATCTGCTTAACCAAATCACCGCCCCTTGCAGGGAGTGAGAGAGAGGGAGAGCGAGGGGAGGTGTGTGTGTGTGAGGGGGAACCAGACCAAAAAGACAAAATAAAAGACAGATAAAGGGAAAAAATCCGGCGGGGGAGCAAAAAGCCGCCCCCCAGGCGCACCCTCTCGCAGCGGGGAGGGGGATGAGCGTGTGCGTGTGTGCTCTGTGTGTGTGTGTGTGCTGTGTGAGTGTGTGAGTGCGTGAGCACCGACCCCGGCCCCATCGGGAGAAGGGGGTGTTTTCCCTCCGCCTTCCCTTCGCCCTCCCCCGGCCCGGCGCGGGGCGGCGCGGGGGGAGCGCGGAGCGGAGCGGGGCGGCCGCAGCCCCGCAGCCCGCCGGAGCTCCGGCACCCGCTCCGGAGCCCAGGGAGCGCGGGGATAAAGGGAACAGCTTCCTCGCCGCCCAAGCAGCCCTTTTTTTTTTTTTTTTTCCCTGGCGGGG